AAAAAAACAAAATAAAACAAAACAAAAAACCCAGATGTATGAGGCTATAGAGGAAATCAGATTAGGAATAAACTCTCAGAAAAAAAAGAAAGAGATCATGACAATATGCAGGACTTGCTCAGCAAATCTAGAGTTGACATAGATTTTTAAAAAAGAATTGCATAGGAAAATACTGGAAACCAAGAATGAACACCATTGGAAACAAATGATATCCATGAAACACTCAATAAGATATTCAAGAAATTAAAAATTCCACTGAAAGTTTACAAAATTGAATAGAAGAAAGTGAAGACAGAATGTCAGACATGGAAGACAGGGTCATGGTTAGTAATCACAAAAACAAAAATCTTTTAAAAATAGCAAAGAAGCATGAAAAAACAATCCAACAGGTGCAAGATGATGCAACAAAGAATATAAGATTGACTAGAGTCAAAGAAAAACTAGAGTCAGCACACACACATACACATACACATACACATAAACACACACATACACGCACATACAAACCTTCATAGAAGTAATGGCAGAATACTTCCTAAGCAGGGAACAAGAATTTGACATAGAGATAGGTAAGACATATAGAAACCCAATCAGCCATGACAGAAATAAATCTACACAAAGGTATATACAAATCAAGATTCCAAAAATTTAAGCATAAGAACAGAATATTTAAAGATGTTAGAGAAAAGAAGCAAATCACTTGTAAAGGAAAGCCCATCAGAAATACAGCAGACTTCTCAACACAAACACTTAAGTCAAGGAGAGCTTGGAGTGAAGTATTCCAAGGCCTGAAAGAAAACAACTTCCAATCCAATTTATGTACCCTGAAAAATTATATTTAAGGATAAATGGAGGGGGCTGGAGATTTAGCTCAGCGGCATAAGTGCCTGCCTTGCAAGCAGGCAGTCATGAGTTCGATCCTCAGTACCGATAAAAAGGAAAAAGACAAAAAAAAAAAAAAAAAAAAAAAAAAAAAGGATAAATGGAGAACTGCAAAAGAAATCCATGACTACCAAACCAGCTCTACAAAGTGTTATGAAAGATATTTTAGAAAGGTATTAACAAGACCACAATTCCAAGAACACCAATAGAAAGATACCACTAAGCAGGGCAAGCCATTATACAGAGGAGAAAGACAGGAAAATAACAGCACAAAAATAATATGACAAGCAAAGTACCTATCAGTTATAACCATAATGTAAATGGTCTCGATTCATCAATCAAAAGAAACATACCAGAAGAATGGATCAAGAAGTCATGCTGGCCTGGAGAACCAGGAACCCACGCTTCCTCTCCCCCAGGAACCAACAGAAGTTGCGCTGGCCAGGGGAGAACCAGGAATCCATGCTCCCCACCTCCTTTGAGCCAGCCAGCCATGTGATTCAGGAGGGAAGAAGAGCCATTTCCTCACCTCCCCACCCTAATTAAGCAACTGACTGACTTGGAGGAACACAGGCTGAGATGATAGCAACTAAAAAAACCACTTAATGATTGTATTGTTTGATTGACTTTGCAGGCCTAAAGCTGGTAGTCCGAGCAACTAATTAGAGGATAACAAGAGGCTTTATGGTAGCCATTGCTAATGTTCTATTATCTTGTTTTGAAGTTCTATATCATTTTTTGTCATTGTTTTGCTTGATTTTATTCCATTTTGTTTTATTTGATTTTATTATGTCTGATTGTATAGGCAGCTATTTTGAAGATCATTGTTGAGTTCCTATTGTTGAGTTCCTGTTATCTGGCTTTGAAGTCTTATGTCACTTTCACTGTCTTCTTTAATTGACTTTATTCTGTTGTACTTTGTTTGGTTTTATTCTCTTTAAAATAAAAAAGTGAATGGATCAAGAAACATGATTCAACAATATGCTGCAAACAAGAAACAAATTTAACTCAAAAAGAAATTCATAGACTTAAAGTCAAAGAATGGAAAACAATATTTAATGTAACAGAAACCTGGATAAAAAGCAGCGGTGGTTATTCTATTAGCAGAGAAAGTGAACTTTAAGCTGCTATTATTTTCCTGTCTTTCTCATCTGATCAAAAGAGATAAAGAAGGCACAACACACCTATCAAGGAAAAACTCCAAGGAAAAGAGATAACAATCCTATATAATGCACCAAATTCAGATGCACCCAACTATGTAAAACAACTATTAATGAACATGAAAAATCAAATAAGTACTAACACAATTGCATGGGGGGTTTTAATACCACACTGTCACAAATAGGTTAACTAGACAAAAAATCAACAAAGAAATACTAGAACTGAGCAAAACCTGTGAACAAATGGATTTAGTAGATGTTTACCAAGTGTTTCACCCCACAAAACCAGTATATTCTTTTCAGCTGCATATGGGATATTCTACAAAACAGACCACACACTAGTTTATAGAACATGCTAAAGTAAATGCAAAGTGATTGAAACTATTCCAGGTATATTATCTGACCATAGTGCAAGGAAATTGGAAATCAATGGTCAAAAACTCCATAAAAATATGGACATTATATAATGCCTTACTAAACAAGTGGGCCTCAGATGAAATTAAAGTAGAAATTGGATGGTATCTACAATTAAATGATAATACAACATACAGAATTTATGAGAAGCAATGAAAGCTGTCCTAAGGGGGAAATTTATACAAGCAACTTCTCATATCAGGAAAACAGAACAAGGCAAAATAAACAACTTAATGTCGAACCTCAAACTTCTATAAAAAGAACAAGCCCAAAACTCATACAAGGAAGGAAATTCTAAAGATCAGAGCAAAATTAATGCAATGAAGACTAAGAAAACAAAGAATCAATTAATCAAATAGTTGGTTCTTTGAAAGGGTAAATAAAGTTGATAAACCCTTAGCCAACCTTTTCAAAAAAAGGAATGAAGACTAAAATCCATGTAATCAGGAATGAACAGGGTGAAATTACAACAGATCCTGTAGCATACAGAAGATCAATACCTACTTTAAGAAATTAGATGGAAAATGAAATGGACAGATTCCTAGATACATATGAACTACCAAAGTTGAATCAAGAAGATATAAAAATTTAAATAACCCAGTCCAATAAAAAATGTAAGAGAACATATATATTATATATATATGTTATATTATATCATATCATATATATTATATTATTATATCATATATATTATATATATATATGAAAAAGAATGAGCTTAAATAAACAACGTATTGTTAAAAACTGAAGTTTCTAGAAAAAGAACAAGTCAAACCCAAAGCCTGTATGAAGGAGGAAATTATAAAAATTGAGTAGAAATTAATGCAATGGAAACTAAGAAAATACAAAGAATCAATGAATCAGTTTGTTCTGTGAGTGATTAAATAAAATACAGAAACCTTTAGCCAACCTTAACAAAAGGAAAGAAAAAGACTCAAATTTAGCCAAGTTGGGTGGTACATGCCGGTAATCCCAGAATTTGGGAGGCCAAAGAAAGAGGACTGCCGTGAGTTCAAGGGCAGCCCCAGCTATGAAAGTTAAAAAACAAAACAAATAAAAAATAGTTCAAGTCCGGCTCGCACTACATAGTGAGCACCTGCTTCAAAAAACCAAAACCAAAACCAACCCTCTTAAAACTAACAACATTCAAATCCATGCAGTTAAGAATGAAAAGTGAGATCATGATAAATCCTGCAGAAATTCAGATCATGAAATTGAAAATATAAAAACTGTCAAAAAAGAAAAGCCCAGGCACTGACAGATTCACAGCTGAATTCTACAAATGATTTACAGAAGACGTAATGATGCAATTTTTCAAACTCTTTAATGAAATGGAAAGGGAAGCAATACTCCCAAAGTCATCTTTCAAAAGAAAAAGAACTGCAAAAGCTTCAATGGCTAAGATGAAAATAATCATATTTACGTCATTTGTAAAGACAAAAATATTGCTTCATGGGCAAAATCTGTTTGCAACTCAGCACATCTTTAAAAAGTCTACTTCATCAATGCATAAAAATTTCCCACACTTTTATGGACTACTTACAGTTTTAGATACATTCTCCTATTTTTTGTCATATATTTTCTTAAAACAATGGAATGTTTTGAATAAAAAATAAAAAATGTGTTAATTGGTAGTGTCTATATAGGTACCAGGGAATAAAAGAGTAGTTTCACAGGGCCCAGGGATTTAGCTCAGTGGTCTAAGTGTCTGCTTGGCTAGCATGAGGTCATGAGTTCAATCCCTGGTACTAAGAAAAACAAAACAAACAAGTAGTTTCAGTATTTTAATTCTCCTAAGCACTGCAGTCGAAGTCATGAAAAAGGAATAGTATGTGGAAAGTTCATCCGGGATAATTTGTAGAAATTATTTAAGTTAAAATAAAACTTTTAAAAGTGCATACCTTTTAGGATCTCAGTTCTAGTTTCTAGGGTGAATGTCACTATATTTTCATTTGTTGAATATATGCAACTTAAACTCTTGAAATATGTACAATACCGGCAAAAATATAGTTCTGCATTACAATGCTGAAGAGGGACAGTTATACATGGAAAAGCTAACACTTCAACAAATTGAACAGAAAAGATACACAAGGTAGAGTCAACACCTTGGCATAAGGGTGTGTGATCGAGGGAGTGAAAAACAGAACAGAAGCTTGAAAAAGAATGTCTCTTTTAAGGAATGAGTTTTCACTAATATGAGAAGAAAATGTTTCTATTACTTGAAGATGCAGGATTCATGGAGGGGGTAGTAAATGAATAAATTCTGTAACGATGGAAGAGAACAAAGGTTTATTATATTAGACAACAGACACTATTTTTGTTTTATGCTACTATCCAAGACCTAAACTTTGGAGATTTGGAACCAAACCACTTATATGTTGGTAACAGAATAGTGATGGATTGTTCTTAGGTCCTTAAGGTTTCTCAGAACTATACTATGAATGACATTTTGATGCATGTAGATTTATTTTATTCAAACTACATTGTTTTAGGTTACATAGGTGGCTTTGCTCGGGCTGGTACAACAAAATACCATAGACTGAATGGCTTAAACAACGGAAATTTTTATTTTCAATCTGGAGGCTAGAAGTCTGAGATTACAGAGAGGCAGTCAGGTTCTCATGACGGAATTCTTCTCAGTTGTGGATGGCTGCCTTCTTGCGGTGTTCTCACATAGAACAGAGAGCAGCTCTACGGCATCTCTTCCTATAAGTGCCTAATCTATCGTGGTGTAAATTCCTACCTAAAGGCCCATCTCCAAATACATGCTGGAGATTAAAGCTGCAAAATGTTTTGGGATGGTAGTGAGTTTATTTTTTCAATGAAGCATATTATGAGATTCTGTTTGGAATAGTAGGAAAAAGGGGAAGAGGAGAAAGGCAAGAGGAGTGTGAGTGAGAATTTCAAAGTAGGGTTATGAATTTCTTAGAGAAAGGCAGTAACACCACTGGGCCCACTCAGGGTCAGTTTGTTTCTCCAGCTCCTAACATTAGGGAAAGTGGGTTTTAAGTTCAACTAGGAACGAGTTCAGGTAAGTGAGAACAGAGGAAAAAGCAATATTGTTGAAGGTTTTACAGAATCACTACATCAGAGCAAGAATGAAGCAAACACAGAGAAGGGATAGCTTTGATTATCTGTTGCTTCTCATCTCAAAACTTTAGCTTAAAGCAAATATTTTACTTTGGTCACAATTTAAGGAATCTGAAAATACTCAGATAAATGACGCTTCTCCTACATCAGGTATTATCTACAGCAGCTGAGTCTTTTTTATCTATAAACTTTATTGAGATTATCACATACTATAAAATTTATCATATATACAAAGTTGTGAGTTCAATCCCCAGTACCAAAAAAAGTATACAATTTAACAATTTTAAAGTTGTGCAAACATCACTGCTTTTACTTCTAGAACATTTCATTACCCTCAAAGCAACACCATACCCATAAAGCAATCACTTCTCATTTTCTTCTCACCTCTGACCTGGGAACGAACCACTTATCTTTCTCTATGAACTTGCCTATTCTGAACAATTCATATAAATGAAGTATGTGTCTTTTACATCCAGGTTCATCCTTGTTGAAGTATGAGAGCATCTTTTTTTTTTTGAAGGGCCAAATAAATACTCCATTGTATTGGTATGTCACATTGTTTCTTGATTTATCAGTTGATGGGCACCTGGGTTATTTTTTGGATGCTAAGAATAATCCTGCTATAGTACAAGTTTCTGTGCAGACGTAAGTTTGCATTTCTCTAAGGTGTATTACCTAGGGGTAGATTTTCTGGGTAATATGGCAATGCTGTATTTAATTATTTGAGCAAGCAGCTGGATCTTGAGGATCTGATTCCAACACAGCATCTTTACTCATGTCAAATGTCTTTCTTCAGAGCCTGTACAGGTAGTATGGGATTTTCCAGTATGATTTCTAGGTAATCACAGAACCTAAGAGAGGAAGTATTCCAAGAGGAAAGGAAACCAGGCCACTTTAAGGGCCAAGTTTGGAACTGATAGTCACTTTATTGTGGTCAAATGACTCAGGAAGCTATGCAGGAAGAGAAAGGTCACACTAAGAGCAGCGTATCGGTAAATTCTTTAAAAAAAATTACAATCTAGTCAGAGGCAACATAGATATTATCATGACACATAAAATACAACAGATGGTATTATAGTGCTCTAAAAGTATAATAGGGCACAAAAGAATCAATTTTGACTGTAAAATAGGATTAAAATTCTACCAGTGTTGAAGTATAATTCTGATGTAATGGTTCAGTTCAGAGAAAAAAATAAGCTGTAAACAGAGGGACAGATGTCTAAGTCTTTTGAGAAATGCTAAGAAATCCAGTGTAAAACACAGCTAAACATAATCCTAGAGGATGACAGAGACAATAATAACAATTTGGTTTTATTCTAAATGTACTAGAGAGTAATTTGAGGTACCTGAGCTACAAAAGTTAAATGGTAGGTGGTGATAAGAGTTAGATCTGTTGTTTAGGTAAAAAGCTGATGGCAAAATCTAGGATGATGCAGAGGAGAAAGACTGAAAACAGCTAAGATTATTTAACAGATTCCTGTAGTAGTCCAAATCAGAAACAAAGCAGGCCAGCATCTGTATGTGTTATGGTTTGTGTCTGGCTGTCTCCTCAACGCCTCATGCAGTCAGGGATGCAGGCTTCTAGAGTCCATAATTGATTCATGGCCCAATGCTGGGATTATAGGTGTGAGTGCTACATCTAAGCAAGTGTAGCCTACATACAACATAAGGGAAAGAGTCTTCTCTCTGTGCTCCTCCCTTTTAGCTAGTGTTGCTTTTGGTATATGCCATTGCAGTGAACTGTTGCTCCTCTGCCATGCCACCTTGCCTTGGAGCCAGCTAATTACAGACTGAAACCTCCAAAAGTGTGAGCTAAAGAAACCTTTCCTTTCCATCATTTTGGGTGTCAGGTATTTTGTCTCAGCAACAACAGAAAAGTAACCAACATAGGATGTGGTCTTGAGGTTAACTGGGTTAGGCTGAGAACATTCTTAATTGATTATACAATGTCAAAGAAAATACCTTTTACTTAGATTTATCAAGTTTAACAAAAATACAGCCAGGTACATAAATTACTCTTGGAGAACCTAAATTTAAACAAACGAAATTAGTTATGTACATTGCTAAGAACTGAGTTGAAATATTACATTACAGTGACTTAAGGTTACCATCTTTTCATTGGTGCTATTTAAGTAATAACAAAACGCAACATGAGAATACTTAAAAGTCATCCCTCCCCCATGGTCACCTTATAAAGACACCACTAATTGTTTTACAATTAGCTGACATACTGTCAAATAACATTACTTAATTTTGTTCACTGGAAGAAACAGATAGGTAAAAAATAATTGCAATGCATCTACAAAATAATAATTATTTGCATTCAGAGTTAACTAATGCTTATTGAGCACCTCCTATTTTCCAGGCTCAAAAACTGTTTATTAACTTTTACAATTTGCAATAGCATTAAGACATAGAATAGTATTTTTCATTTAACACACAAGGAAATTAAGAATCAAATGATAGGAACCTGTTTAACATTATAGGCAAGAATATACTTTATTGACTACCAAGTTTCGGGGAACTTATATAACATCAATTTTTCACATTTGTGTTACCAGAAGTCTGTTTTACATTTATCTTTCTTAAAGTCATGCATATATAAACAGTATTTATATTTATGTAATCAAACCTCTTTTCTAAGAGAGTAACTTTGTCTTCCTAAGTCATCACCACTTATCTATAATTTTTTGCTCATAACTTTAATAAAATATACTTAAATGAGAATTTGTAATATTATTTTGGGATTTATAAAATGATGGGCATATAGTTTAAAAGCTGTATCTATAATGAAATAAACTATGATTTCTAAAATATATTTGTATGTATTTAAAATGAACATTAGAATTTTTGGTTTATAATTTTATAAAGATGTTAAACTTACATAGCTATCCATTATGGTCAACTATATATAAAGTATGGAAATATACTTTCAAGTTTAAAGTACCTCTCTTATGAGCTGAATTCAAGTGAAATAAAATTATATCAGTATTTTGCTATATATATATATATATATATATAAAATTATACACCAAAAGTTCAAGAAATACAAAATTAAATAAACACTGAGGATACTCTAATATAAATCCTATTCCACTTCTACTATTTTGTAAGTATTTTATAGAAAACCTGTTATATACTGAATATGTTCAACATCAACAGGTATGACAAATATGTACTAATAAAGAACATAAAAGTTAAAAAAAGAAAATTGTTCTAATGAAAGTATTTTAATAGAAAGAGAATAAAGTTAGGTGTGGTGATACATGTCTGTAATCCCAGCACTTCGGAGACTGAGGCAGGAGCATTGCCAGGAATTTGGAGCCAGCTTGACTACATAGTGAGTTCAAGGCCAGGCTGAACTACACAGGAAGACCTTGTTTCCAAAACAAAACCAGACAGAAATTTCAAGACACAAAAAACTCATTATTTATGTATTTTTTTATCGGTACCAGGGATCAAACTCATGAATGAGCGCTTGCAAGGCAGGCGCTTATGCCGCTGAGCTAAATCCCCAGCCCAAAAAACTCATTATTTGCTGGATGTGGTGGTACATGCCTGTAATACCAGCATTTGGGAGGCTGAGTAGGAGGATTACTGAGGTTGGAGGCCAGCTTGGGCTACATAATGAGTTTAAGGTCAGCCTGGACTACGCAGTGAGACCCTGACTTAAAAACAAACAATCTCATAAATGCCTGTTTTACAGATTAGGGTTTGAAATTCAATCATAATAAAGTGCTTATCATGTATCAGTGGTGAAACCTAAACTGCTACTATTCTGGGTTGCTTCAACCATATCTTAGTTCTTTTATCTTATGACCAAATTCTATTATTCACTAATATTTTAAATTTATTGGGAAATTATCAAGTAATAAAACTTTTTTCAGTCCCGTAACTCTCAAACTTTAGTGTTATTAATGTGCATTTTCAAAATTAGATATAGTTCATGACAGAGTACTTTTGTAGCTTCATTAAAATGAGGACTTTACAAGGAAAATTTCCATTACATGTAATTTTTAAAATTATAAACCTCTTTATATCATAGTGACTTCATATGTTATAAAATGGTTTTCTATAATTTTGACATTTTCTTCAGATAGCCAGTTTTCCTGTTTTAGCTGGCTTACAAGTGCTTCTAAAGACTTTAACCTACCTAGAGTTTTTTGTTCCTGTAGCTCAAGGAGTGTTATCTTTGAATGTAACTTAGAAACTTTTTGCCATAAATGTTCCTTATTTATGTCTTGTCTGCAGTAAGAATGATCAATTTGTAAGACTTCTGCCCCATGATTTACATCCTTAAATAAGGAGTCTTCAATATCTATGTCTTCCATTTCCATGGTTTCTTTTTGGATTGGTATAAAAGAATTAACAACAGGTTTTGAATTTTCTACTGGTACAAAAATGGCAATAAGAGATTCTTTGCTTGTGTTTAATTCTTCAACTGCTGGGTTGATTGTGCTGAATAAGAACGGACTTTCTTGTGAATTAATTTCCATGGAATTATTTGTAAGATTTGGATTAAGATGATTGGTAGTTATTTCAAGCACTTCCTGGGTTTCCAAAGGGTGCTGAATACCTTCTGCATTTGAAGTTGTCAAAGTAATAGTTGCAGAATTTCGATTCTCAAAAGATGTGTGAAAACCACCTTCACTTAAATCTTGGTTGACTGATGCTTTCAAGGTAGATTGTGTTTTTTTGGTATCTTGTTTAATTAGATTAAGAGTTAATATATTATTTTGCGTATTTCCTGTTTTTGGAGCTGGTGGATTCACCAGGACATATGAATGAAGTAATTCTGCATGTTTAGGGAGCACATCTGTGTTACTTGTATTTTTCTTTGCCTCATTTAAGGAAAATGATTTTTCTGACTTGGCTTTTGGACATATTTTGGTCTCATCTTCCAATTTTTTCTTCTGAGATTTTTTTTTGGAAGGGTCCTTTCCCTGGAAAATAATATTTTCAAATTCTAAAAAAGACACCCTTATCAGCTTATTCTCTTATTAGTACTGGCTGTTCAATTATAATTTTGAGCAGTATATTGGCCAGCAAAATTTATTTACCTAAAAAAAATTCTATGTATATAACAAATATATCTTATGTTTTAAAAGAAACATGCAGCCTGTTAATATGACAAAAACATTTCAGATCATTCAAATGACCAGTTAAAAATTAACTCTTTGTTAATAATTTGTGATGCATAATGTGCTACCTTCTGGTTCTTTTAAAACTGTTTCACAATTTTATAAGTTATCACACTTTAAACAACAGCAAAAATTAGTGCTCCTTAGTCTCAATATCTATTTTCCCAAAAGATCTTGCCTGCTTATTCTACCTTATCACCTGCCACCTTGTAATCTGCCCTTAAAGTGTGCCACCCTGTTCAACCTAACCCTCCACCCCTAACTCCAATACCTGACAGTCTTCAGGCAAAGAAAATATTGTTGGAATTGCAGTTTGTTTTAAATAACGAATACCCCATCTGATGTCAAGAGAATCAGGAGTAAAATGGTCACTACACAGGAACTGGTATTTACTGGGAACCCAAGAATCCCGTTTCATATTCTTTAACCATTTTTCAAGTCTTTCTTTGTCATGTAGAGGAAACCTGAAAATAAAAATAAAGAAAAACTTTACTATGTTTTTTATAATTTTGCCACACGCCAGGCCTATATCTTTAGGTGTTTTGTCAAGTGTTGCAAAGGCAAAGCAGCTATCTTTATCAAATAAGAGCATGTTCATGAGAACTACCCCATCACCTCTAAAGACTAAGATACAATACTTAGCCAGTGATTTTGTCTGAGACCAGCTCATCATCTTTCAAGTGATATAGCCCATTATCTTTCAAGTGAAATATATATTCCTGCGAAGCATAAAATCCATTCTTTTTTATGGATCATGTTCCACTTTTATTGTGTTGTATAACAAACAAGAAGTAGCAAACAGAAGTAGAAAAGAGTTTGTATAAATTAAGATTCTCATTCATACTAATTCCATACTAATTACACAAGTGAAATGGTTTATTGTTTATAATTTTAGGCAGCATCAAGCTTTAGGTTATTGATTCTAATATTTTTAATGTAAGGAAACAATTCAAACAAATGGTTTGACTGAATAAAATGAATAATTAAAAAATTACTAATATTTCATTCTCTTTATTGGCATCAATTTCAATTCCACCTATATGTAACTTAGTCTAATATTTCTTGACTTCTGTAAACCTCAGACTAGGAACTCTGAAGTTCTAAAAAAGGAATTTCGAAGCAAGAAAAGAAATAAACATGTTTAAAAAAAATACTCATGTTTTACCAGAAGCAAAGCAAATATAAAAGGCAAAGGCAAGACAGTTCTCACTTATTTTGTTCCTATACTGACAATAACCTGGATTTAAAGGTGGCTCTAGCATACTGCAATGTAGTAGTATATATTTAGATAACATTGGATTATGGCACAATTTGGTAGAAAAAAATTCTTAACTCTAGAAATAAATTTGATTTAAAGTACACTACATGCCTATAATTCCAGCACTTGGGAGGCTGAGGCAGGAGGATTGCCATGAGTTTGAAACCACCCTGGCCTACATAGAGTTCAAGGCCAGTTTGGACTACACAGTGAGACCTTGTCTCAAAACAAAACCAAAAAGTATACTGAATATCTGTTGATAGTGACTTATATTTCATTTGATGATTTTCTAAAGAATACAGCTGAATATATATATTACATAACTCCCATTTTTAGGGGTGTGTATAGGGTTAAATTTTAAAAAAATTAAAATTAAGTTCTTTTTTTATTTTGGGGGGCTAGTAGAAAATTTTAAATTACTCATGTGGCTTGTGTTCTATTTTTATTATACAGCATTATAATTTTCTATCAAATCTCTCATACAAATTGTAGCTGTTATACATTGCCTCTCATTTCAAACTTATAGTTTATGCTTGTAGTAAGTAGATTTCCCCCGTAAATATTGTAAAGTATGTAAGACTGTAGGGAAAAGAGTCAGTGTTATATAGCAAACAATTTTTAACACTGATACTATTATGTGGAAAAATCAAATGATCCATCATTGCAAGTTTTCATCTTGGAAACAGTATGTTTTGAAAATCTTTTAACCTAGCAAATAAAAAACTTGGGTTTAAGTATTTCAGGCATAACCAGCAAATTCATTTAAAAATGAAAAGAATTAAATTAAACTTCTTGGTAAATCTAAAATGAGACTGTATCTTTTATAATAATGCTTTTTAAACACAAATTCATACATAAGAATGTGATTTGCAAATTTCATTTTATCTATATGCTAAGTTATCATACCATAAAAAATTATATGTGAATATCCTTGTTGGTAAGTATACTACACTATTTCCTCAACAGATGAATGTTTTAAGAAATTGCTTGGAATATATTTCTTGACTAAGTTAGTAGCTTTATAGAGATGCAATTTGTTAATTATGCAATTCTTCCAAAATACCTAAGATTATCACAATATAATAGGATACTATATGCATATATTTACTGAATGACTAAATTCAGTAATTGGTTGCTACAATTTTAACATAAGCAAATTCAGTTCTTAAAGTTTGGTGCTATTAGAGGAGAAAAAGATCCCTATATTTTTAATATGTGAATTACATAGGTAATTTAAAAATCCATAAAATAAAAACCACTGAAAATTCATATGTGAGAAAAAAACTTTTAATAATTAATTTTTATGAATATGGCTTTTTCCTTAAATATAGTAACTCTAAGGTCCCCAGAGGTTAATCAAAAAGACTTTTAGCCAGGCAAGGTGGTGCAGCATGTAATCCCCACAATCAGGAGGCTGAGGCAGGAGGCTCCCCAGGAGCCAATCAGCTTGGGCTACATAAGGAGCCCATGCCAGCCTGAACAACATAGACGGGTTCTGTCTCAAAAAAAAAAAAAAATTTTTTTTTTTTTTTTTTTTACTGTGTGATTATGATCTGTCAGTGCAGGGCCAAATAGATGTGAAAATTAGTTCAACATGATCTTTTGCTACAAACCACCTCAGAGCTACAACCATTAATGTAATAGCATATACTTACCTATTGCCTATTTTTTTCCTAAAAATCTATCTTGTGAAAGGGATTCAAGGGGACAATCCTTGATATACTGCCATATAGTGTTAATTATTTAGGATCATACAGCCCCTCCCCCAACCATGTAGGCTAATGGAAAGTAATGGAAAGCTGCTGAACCATTAGTGAATGACAGCTTCAGGTTTAAAGTTAAACTGGATTCACAACCTAACTAGTAAATACTTAAAGAAAGTCAAAGACAACCAGTTTAATTTTAAATGAAATGATTTTACAAAAAACAAGAAAAAACATTGGCGTATTTTAAATATTTCCCCCCTCAGGTTTTTCATATACATTAATCATGTACCTCCAGTCAGTACTGCTTTATCTCTTCAAACAGTTAGCTCAAAGTAAGTTCTACTAACATGTCCTGTTAACGTATGAAACATACGAGGCACCGAGAGCCTAAATATTTTTCATTCCAAAACAAAGTAATGGAACAATGATTTGAAGTTGGTGTGGTCTTGGAGTGCAGACTCTTTACACCACTACTTCCCTGTTCTTCTACATTAAGTATCAGTACTCCTGTAATTTCATGGAAGTATTTCGTGGTCCTAGTCACTCTGAATCGTACCCTATTTTTTGCACTAATGAAGGCTATGTACATCTCTGAACAGGACACGGGTGATAATTTTAGCTGTGACACAAAACTTTCAAGGTCGGTCGTCGGTGATTCGATCTTCCTGGCTTCGATTTGCTCAGAAGAAAAATGCGATGAAAGTATTCCTATGCGACAAGGCATGGAACTTATGAATGCACCTTCCTACCTGGCAGGTTTGAGGGAGTTTTAACCTAAATGCTGCTTAATGTCATTCGATGAAATGAGGTCAAGTGAGGTGAGGAAAAAGCTCTGGAAATCACCAGCACGGCGGAAACTATTAACTCTGCTAAAACCCGAACAGGCACCTGTGCCTGGCCAGTAGCCTAGCGACCAGAGACACACAGAACTTAAGGGCCGGTGTCCTGCGCTGCGGTCAGCCTCCAGGAGCACAGGGCTGGTTTCCAGGCCTGACAGAAGACACTCGTAGGTAGGCCTCTGCCTAGGCGACAACTTACGGGTAAAAGCTCAGTTTCCGGTCTTTATTGCTTCGTCCCCGGCGGTTTTTACAGCAAGTCGCTGCGCAATAGCGGGGCATCACTTATGCAAGGACCCGGGACAACCGAGCCTCACAGAGCCCTCCTAGCTGAGGAGGAGCTGCACGTCTCGGGCCCCAGGAGCCACGGCGCCTGCGCTGAGAACCGACCCAGAGGACGAACGCCGGAAGTAGCGTGTAACTTCCGCCTCCGCGGGCTTTAGCACCGCCCCTTTGGCGGTGGGGCCGGAAGTGACGCGCGGGCAGAACGGCAACAACAGTTTTCCACGTGCGCGTAGGGCGCTAGGGTCAGGTGGGAGGTGAGAGCCAATGGGAAAGCGTTTCGTGTAGGTCATCTCCTGAGGCGGTGGCGCCCGAGGCTAAACGCCCGCCCGTGGGGAGCCGGCAGCGGAGGGGCGCAGTGTCCGCGCCGGAGCTGGAAGCGCTAGGTCACCGTGGAAGCTGCAGCGGGGCGCGCAACGGCCCGTAGAGACTGCGAAGGCCAGGGTAAGGAGTCGGGCCCCCAGAGACCGGCCGGTGCCCCGGCTCGGTGGAGTTGGAGCCGCGCCCGGAGGGTGCGGTGCGGGTGAGGCCGGGACAGTTCGCGGAGAGTGGGGTTCGGGGTGTCCCTGCTCCGCGGTCTTTGTCTGTGGGCCGATTTGGCGTCGGTGTCCGTCGCGGTCGCCGCGAGGCTTCCGGCCCCGTTCCTTGACGCGGGGCACGGGGAGAGGTGGCCGGGAGCGGGACAGTGATTTTGAGGTCGGGTTGGGAACTAGCCTTGTGGGGCGCAGGGGAGCTCGGGCGGTGGCCTGGACCCTCGGGTCGGGCGCGTTGGGGCGCGGGTCTCCCGGGAAGCGAACCCAGCCCGCCGTCCAGCGAGTCCTGCCTGGAAACGACAAGCCAGATTCAAGGGAAAGTTAGCCTTCTAAAAAGTAGGCATTGATTCTGCAACCGTGGCAGTTGAGTTTATTCCGCCAGGCAGGCGCTTGTCGCGTGTAGACCCGCCCTTTGATGGGGAGCGACCTGCTGTGACTGCAGCTGCCTTGGACACGCTCCGTTGGCGTTCTTTAAACGAGGAGGAGGTTGTGCTTGACCCTTGGTATCGGCAACTATGAGTAACTCTGGAAAAGAAAAAAAAAAAATACACCTACTAATTACTCTCAGAAAATCCCACAGGAGGGAAAGGTAGTTTCCCCAAACCCTAGTGTCTTTTCGTCAGCCTGTGTCATCATCATAAGTTAGTGAGGACTCTTGAGGTACACTATTCAACAACAAGATCACTCCGTTAGCCTTGCATTTATTAAATATGTAGTATCAAGGATTTAAGTTCAATTCTAAATTAAAAGTTATAGATAAGTATTTTAAGTACATTACTGAGAAGTTTGAAAGTATGACTCAACTTCTCTAAAGTACAAAAAAATTTTTTTCTGTCAGCCTTAGTAGAAATCGTAATTTTTTTTTTGAGACTGCGTAGTTCAGTCTAGGCTTGAACTCACTGTGCAGCGCACATTGGCCTCGAACTCATATCTTCCTGCCTGAGCCTCCTGAGTGCTGGGACTACCTTGGTCACCATGGGGGGCTGGGGATTTAGCTCAGCGGCATAAGTGCCTGCCTTGCAAGTGTTCGGTCATGAGTTTGATCCTTGGTACCGATAAAAAAAAAAACGAAAAAAAAAAAAAACCGTTAGTCACCATGCTTGATTTAAACTGTGTTGTGAGTTTTAAGCAGATCTTATTTATTCATACTTCTTGGTTTTCGGATCTTACATTTATGCAGATTTTATAGCTCCCAAATTGTGTTAACCTTCTTAAGAGCAAATAGGAGTCAGCCAAACTGAGAAACGTCTTTGTTGGCTTTGCATTTCCATAAAATACTTTGGGCAAACACACAGAAGACATACAATATTCACTAACTGGTTTTTGACAAATACTGAAGACCCCATTATAAGCAAGCACAGTTGAAAAAAATCTAAGTAATACTTTAAGTGTAGTTTTCCTTTCTTTATTTTAAATAATCCTTTCAAGAATTCATTTTCTGTTAGCAAGGCTTGGTGGTGCACATCTGTAAGCAGAGTCTGAGGCAGGAGGATCCTGGGCAGGAGGATGGTGGGGAGTTCAAGGTAGAACTTGTCTCAAAGACCCTGTCTCAAAGAACAAACACGAAAATATTTTGTAGGGGTAATATGTTTAGTTTTTCAGGGGAAAAAAATGTATTGCTTTAGTCGCCCAAGATGTTTAAATTAATAGAAATTTTCTTCTTTGAGAAAGTACCAGTTCAGTTTTCATTTCAATTAAACTAGGTTTCAGTTAGCAAACCTTAATTACAAGTGCTAAGTGGAGGCCAAGGCTGGAGGATGGCTGCAAGATCCAGGCCAGCGGAAGCTACATAGCAAGATTTTGTCTTTAAAAAAAAGAAAAGAAAAGGAAAACAAGTGCTAAGACTGACAATACGATAAGATATATTATGTAAGATATTACATGCGTCACTTAGTGTGGAGGTTCTTTGGTTCTGTTTTTTGAAACAGGTTCTTACCATGTAGATAGGCTGAACTTGAACTTTCTGTGTAGCCCAGGCTGGCTTTCACGCAGTGATCCTTCCTCATTCTCCCAAGTGCTAGGGTTACAGACATGTAACTGTGATTGTTACTGTGTTTTTGTTTTTTTTTTCTTTTAACCTCATATCCTCGAAGGTTTATTAGGTTTCTTGTAAAAAAAGAAAGTCTTAAAATTCTTTAAACTTTTTTTTTTTTTTTTTAGGATATTAGAAATGGCTACTCCCCAGTCAGTCTTCATCTTTGCCATTTGCATTTTAATGATAACAGAATTAATTCTGGCCTCAAAAAGCTACTATGACATCTTAGGTGTGCCAAAATCAGCATCAGAGCGCCAAATCAAGAAAGCCTTTCACAAATTAGCTATGAAGTATCATCCTGACAAAAATAAGAGCCCCGATGCTGAAGCAAAGTTCCGAGAGATTGCAGAAGGTAAATAATTCTTTCTGGCACCCCTTGAGTATTAGTAGTCAGGAGACTGACTGGTTTTGTGAATATGAGAAGGTGGGGGATTTACTTACCGTGACATTACGAAATTACTGTCTTGTTTTCTGAATGAATGAACGAGTCTAAAAATGCTTAAAATACATGATTTCATTCTGTTATTAATGAAATAACCATGTTTCTGTATAAAAAGAAATTTAGCTACACAAAATTTTTACCAATTATGAAATGATTTTACTCAGTAGATTAAATATAGATTCTAAAATTTCTTATTCATTTGTTCTGTATTTCAAACCACAAGTATAAACTTAAAGGGAAAGCATGAAACACATTTTGACTTTAGACTGCTAAGGTAGTTCTACATTGAATTGCACCTCCTGACCATAATTAATGGTGGGTGATGGTAATTGACCAGGAAGTTGGAATTACACATTTACTTCAACTAGTAAGGTTAAAATCTTAATTCCTATTAATTGGTTATACAGTGTTTGACCATTTAATTGTTTAATACAGGTAATAGTTTCACACAAATATTTTAAAGGTTAAAGAACTCTGTAATTGTTGTTTGTATATTTATTTGTGGTAATGGTTGCATTCATTTACTGTATTCTTACTGGGTGTTTATTAGAGGTATCAATGTGCTAACTACTAATAATAAAATGGTGAGTTAAGGTGAAGTCCCTGCCTTTTTTTAGGAACTTTGTTTGTAGTATTTTCCTTTTACTTACCTGAAATCCTTCCCTAAAATGTAGAATTGTGTGAACTCAAATGTTTTAGGAGGTTTCAATATATGTAATTTTGAATACTTTTAGTTACTGAAGTATTTTTATCTCTTTCAGCATATGAAACACTCTCAGATGCGGGTAGGCGAAAGGAGTATGATACACTGGGACACAGTGCTTTCACTAGTGGTAAAGGACAGAGAGAGAGTGGAAGTCCTTTTGAGCAGTCCTTTAATTTCAATTTTGACGACTTATTTAAAGACTTTAGTTTTTTTGGTCAAAACCAAAATACTCGATCTAAGAAGCATTTTGAAAATCACTTCCAGACACGGCAAGATGGTTCTAGTAGACAGCGGCATCATTTCCAGGAGTTTTCTTTTGGAGGGGGATTGTTTGATGACATGTTTGAAGATATGGAGAAAATGTTTTCTTTTAGTGGCTTTGACTCCACCAGTCAGCACACAGTACAGACTGAAAATAGATTTCATGGATCTAGCAAGCACTGCAGGACTGTCACTCAGCGAAGAGGAAATATGGTCACCACATACACTGACTGTTCAGGACAGTAGTTCCTCCTTTTTCTGTTCTTATTAAATCCACCTGGTTGACTCTTCCTTGGTATCTTTGATGAAAAAGTTTTCTCTGAAATATTTTGACAAGTGCATGATTTTACTCAGAAATTTGGTATTACTATTACGTAATTTTTTTCAAAAGATTCAGCAACATTCAGCTAGTGAATTAGAGAAAAATCTAATTATTTTCTTGATTGGGGAAGGTCCTTTAAAAAAATGTATTATTCTGCTGAGTATTTTCCCCCCATTTTCCCTTAGGCTCATCAATGTGGCCAGTTTTGTTAACATCAGAAAAAAAAAAATAGATCGAGTTTGCTTGATATATAAGTTAAACTTTAAAAGTTATTGTGTGAATTTGAGTATTTTTTTGCAGTGAAACCTTTGCTAATTTAAAATTGCATGCTCTAGCATTTGTGACTTGGATTGCTAAATATGTACGAAGTGTAATTGAGTCAGCAAAGGAAAGCATTCAGTGGTTAATTGCCACTGAAAGCTTTAGAAAGGGATGATTTGATATTTACCCTATCTTGCCACAGAATTGGTACAGAAAATGTTGATAGGGTTTTTGGTCAATTAAACTGAAAAAAGAAAACACGAAATATTGCCAAGAGATTGTTACATGTTTAGGCCCTGGCTAATGATTGATTTTATAGGGTTGAAATCATAACTACTTACATCTTTTCACATTTTTGTCTTAGTTATTGGCACTCTAGGTATTACTATGAATTTGTGTGGGTTCATGTTTGTATGTGTAATTCCTCCTCTGCATTTATCTTTATCTAGAGATTGACTAATACCTCATTCTGTTTGTAAAACCAGCCAGTAATTTTTGTGCAACCTTATTACGTGCAATATTTTTAAATCTAAAAAATGTGTGCTTTTGTTTTCAGATAAAACTTAACTTAGTTCTGCACTTTCCACATTATAATCCATATGAGTATTAATCCTATGGATGCATATCAAACTAGTAACGTCTCATACAACATTGTTTGTGAGTGAGAGAAATACAAGTATTTACAAGCTGATAGTCTCTGTTGTCATTTTGTTACAATTTTATTATGCAAATCTACAGGCATAGAGGATATATATGTACTAGGTCATATGCTCATCATAAGCTATATTTCTCATAAAGTTAAATTTTTTGTAATCTGAAAACCTTGATAGGATATTGCTTTATTTTTGTTTTGGTAATTTGTGTTCTGCTTATATTCTTTGCTTCACAAATTTTGGTATCTTGAAGGTTTTTATTTAAGTGTGGTATTTTCACAGAGCAAGAATTATGTCACCAGTTCTTTCCTATTTAGAACTGGTTGGAAAAACACAACTAGGCATGAAACTGTAATCCTTAATTTTAATTTGAGAACTTTTATTTTTCCTTTTTGTAGTATTGGAAATTGAACCCAGGAACTTATGCATGCTAGGTAAATACTTCTCTACTGAACTATATCCCTAGAATTTAATTTGACAATTGTTAAGGAAATGAACTTATTATATGTATCTTACTTCCTGAAACTTGTAACCGACTACTGTTTGATAATTAAAAAAAAAAAATAGCTGTAGATTTTATTTGAGGCTAAAGACCTAGCCCATTAACAGGACAAATGAGAACCAGTCCCCTTACCTCTGCAAAAGGGTCTCATTCTCAAATCAGGATTGTTTTTAACATGATCCTGCTGGCTTGAAAGACTGGTGCTATGTGCTTGACTGTCCCATTGAGTGGTAAGTTGCCAGATGAGACAGACATGATGGCCCCATTGTGAACATATTGATTCATTACTTTTAAACCATTAGCATATGTCCTCCTTTTTCTCCAAGGCCTAATTTATTTTCTCCTTTCCCCTGAATTATATATAAAATTGTAAAGATACAATGAAGTATCAAGAAACTGACTTAATAATCTTTGTGCTGTGTGTGAGTAGTATGGTGTATATGCTATTGGAAATTGGTAATCGACATGTTTACTGAGTAACTTAATGTGCAAAGATAGTGGAGAATCTATATTTGAAGAAATGAAAAATAAAATAGCTGACTTATACAACTCCTACAGAAATGAAGTCTATCACAGTCATATTTTTCCTTTGTGGGTAAAATAGTAATTTATATCAGGACTTCAGCTAGGTTGTATATGTCTTGGATGCTATCAGTATGTGGTAGGCACTTTTTTTGTTATTAGCAAAACATGTCAAAATAACAATGACAGCACTGTTTCTATCAAGTGGTGGGGGTGTGCCTGGTTGGAGCAGATTTAAAGCATTATGGCAATAAAAGTAAGTGCCCTTAATGACCTTACTAGCTGGAAAATTTATATTGGAAACATTTGTGGCTGTGTGTGGTGGTGCACGCCTGTAATCACAGCACTTGGGAGGCTGAGACAGGAGTATCACTCTGAATTCGAGGCCAGCCTGGATTACATAGTGAGTTCAAGACCACCTTGAACTACAGTGAGGCCTTGTTTCAAAAAACAAAACCCAAAACAAAACATTTGTGAACAAAAATTTTAACACATATTAGAGTTTTAGTTATGATTCCATTTGTGTAGCAACAGCTTGTTCTTCAGAATGGTGTGCTATAGGATGTTCCTATGCCGTGAAGAAAAATGTTCCAGTACATTTGTACAATAATACAGTACTGTATTACACAGTTATTTGAGCCTTGTTAAATATAGTATGTTTTTATAGGTGGGGAGCATGGCCTGAATTTCTGTGTCCCCCCAAAATTCAGATGTTGAGATTACTCCCAAGGTGGTGTCATTTATGGCCTATGGGCTGTGATTAGTTCCTTGGATGATCCTTTGAGTGGGATTGGTGCTTTTATAAAAGAGGCCAGAGAGAGACCACTAGCGCTTTCCAAGCTGTGAGATTAGAGCTTAAAGAGAGACATGTGTGAACCAGAAAGCTGGCCCTCAGCCGAGAGCAAACCTGCTTAGGCCTTTATTGTGGACCTCTCAGCCTCTACAACTGTTGAGGAGTGAAATTTTTTAAAGTGAGCCACCCAGATCATGATATTTTGTTGTATCAGTCTGAACAGACTAAAACAATAAGCTTCTTAGAGCTTTCAGTAAGCTAATTTATGTTGTAATTCTCTGGTACAGTGTCAGTGTTGTTTGCCAAACTTAACCAGGCTATGGAACTGTTTTTCCCAGTTACCCTTAACAGTATCCAATTGTGCCACAGAAAAAGTTTGGCAATTACTACACTAATAAATACTGAGTGAAAATTTATGCCATTAAAAACATTTGGATCTACATAAAACAAGGGTGATAGCACATATGTTGATACTTGTCCCATTAGTTGTGGACAAGCTCTGCTTGGAGCAGATCATGGTGTCAGAGCCCATTGTGTTTTTCTGTAACTTGTAGCATTTCACCAACATGCTTTTCTTGTGATTATTGCTCTAGCTACTTTAATAACCTAGCATTGTTGTTTTTTAGGACTCTTACATTTAACAACTGAGCAAACAAACTTTGAGAGTATACTTTAAACAAAAATGTCTTCATTTCCCCAAGGAAACTCATTGCAATGTTACTAAATTATATTTCTAAAGTAAGACAGTATTTGTGAACAAAAATCAAATGATTAGCTTAAAGGCCAAATCATTCTGACGAGTAATAGTTTTGCTCTTTAGACTAGTATGAGTGGTGCCAAACAGGTTCTGAAAGTTGACTAATGACTCACCTATTTTTATTTGGTGAGGGTTAGAACAAATGCATACCCTATACAACTATGGGGTGAATGGAAATAGAAAATACTTGGGTCTTTTTAGAGTTAAATTTTTTACTTTGCATATGTGTAAGTAAAATATTAGTCTTATTTCTGTTGTAAACCATTGTAAGAGTTTCTGAAAAGTGCCAGTGAAAAGGTGAGATAGTCTCTTGTTTAATGCAAAGGCAAAGGATTCTTTTCTCTCCTAACCCCCAACTACATCAAAAGGTGCATCATTATGGAAGGATGACAGGGATGCAGGTAGGGTGAGCACGGCAGAGGAACTGAATACACCTGGCTTAGGAAAGAGACAGAGTTGTTTGCGGTACCCACAGTTGGGTACACAGCCCATGTTGTGTCCAGTTGCTAAGGGGAAGAGTTGCAGAATAAGGTGCACTGTTTGGTTGGGGAAATGTGATCAAAAGAAGTTTCCCTAAGAAGAGCTTAGCCAGACTTCTGAAAAGTTATGCCACACACTAAAGCGAATGGGCAGTAATTTCAAAGGTCTGATGGAAAATGCTTTTGAACCTGCAAAACACACATGTAGACTATTAATACGGGGTTGAGAGCAAAATAAAGGTATTTTGAAAATGCACGAACTCAAAGTTACCACCACGTATTTTGTGTGTTTCAGTTACAAATATGTAAGGAAAGGTACAGCAGGGAACAAGACCCATGGAGCTCAGCATATACTACTATGAAGAGGTAAAGTTAGAAATTAAGCGTGAACTTCAGACATTTGAAATTTTCTTTTACAGGAACATTTTCCTTTATGGACTTACTCAATTTGAAGTGAAGGTATTTGCATTATCAAACTATAAATTTTTGGAATCAGTGGATCCAATTATCAGTTTACAGTGAGTCTACATTATAAATGTTTTCCAGCCTATAAATAAACTGCAAGTGATTCAGTTATGCTCTTTAATTGGAATAATTTTGTAAAGTGTATCTGACATTGGGAAATGGAAAGAGGAAGGAGATTGGAAGGTAAGGAGGAAAACAATGTCAGTGTATTCTGTCATTTTTTTTAAAGATTCATTAGAGGTAGAGATATAAGACACCTTCAAAAGCAGAGTGTGAATGCTCAGAGAAGGGAAACATGGTACCTTTTTATCATCTTTCAATAGTCTGAGAAAGTCCATCATCATGAACAAACTTAGTTTGGTGCTCATCAGTGTAAGATGTCATACTCAGGTCCTGCATTTTAAAAGTCCTATTTACAAACCAAAGTTGAGATCTCCAGTTTCCGTGTCTCTCTTTTAGGTGCTCCTCTGGATTGCTGAGATAAATGTCACTGGGCCGGGTCTGAGGGTCCCAGGCACTGAAATGAGAAACCTGACCCACCCTTTTAAAATGAGTGCAGGTTCCCTGACTCACATTAAAAGAATTTTCACAGTGCATCAGCAAAAGGTGTGAAAAGGGCTTATCAGAGATGGGACACATCCAGAGCAGATCTTTCATGGAAGGTAATTTACTGAGCCAAAAATTAGTGATTTAAGTATACTATTTTAAAATGTGACAGCAGACACTAGTCACATAGCTTCTAAAGCATGGAACTGGAAGGCAGGGGTAATGATGTAGTGATAATATATAACTTCCAAATAATAAAAGGGAAATACAACCCCCAGCTCTTTGGAACAGATCTTAAAGTTACATTATGTAATATTTTATGAATTTTCTAAAGTACAAAATTGTATGCCTTGGAAGCCTACTATTAATTCAGGTAAGAAGTGAAACTACCTACCTTTCAGCGTCTGTTTATTGAAATACGTTTCAGTGGTTTGTAAATAATCTGTACTACTTTCAAGAGAGAAATTATTTGCTAAGTGCTGTTCCATTATATAGCAATTGGAGTCTCTTGTCACTGAGGTCATTTCCTCTTTTTTGCTTGGAATTAGTTGCTATTGTTATAGACAGCTAAAGTAGATAGAAATATTATAGGCAAATCAGACAGGGCTAGACCTTTGGGAGAGCTGCACAGAAGATGAGAATACACCAAGACTAGATTAAACCACAATGGCCAGATTTACCTATCTCTCTAAAGGATAAATAGAAGTTTGAGATTATTGGTTTCATTCTTGAGATTTCTGGTATAAATAAACCATTATCTCATTAGGGATTCTCACTCACTAAGACTAAGACTAAAATCGAGTAAAGACAAGACTAAGACTGCAGATTGTCCACCAAGCTTAGTGATGTCATCCATGTACACTTGCTATGTGACCTGTTTCTCTATTGGATCAATATTACCTAAGCATCTATACTTGTAAGCTCATTAGTTGATCATAATTTTGCCCCACATTGCATCCACTTGGTGATTTTGC